GTTAACCTTGACTTTACAGACACCGAGGCACAAGAAACTTACTCAGAGGGACTTTTTGAATCAGATCTACAAAGACACAGCAATAGCCTCCAGGAGGCGTTTCGAGTGTTTGTCCGTGTAACTAACTATCAAAAAGGAGCAGAAGGCTTATGAAGTTGGGCTTGCAAGCCCCAAAAGCACCATCCTACATACCACTGGATGCTGACAGGGTTTTTACACCACCAGTACAGGTTGTAATCAGTAACCATAGCTGCCACTGGATAAGAAGCAGCACACTTTAGAGAGGAGGCTTTCAACCTCTCCTAGAGTGGACACCTTACCAAAGAAGATATCTCCCCTGCAATCTGAGACTGCATTTTAGCCCTGTGGCAGTAATTGCTGATGGTTAACAGTAATGGAAAAGTATTTATGCACTTTATTATTCATTTAGCTGTCTTTATTATTAATTCTGAAGATTGAGATTTATTTGCAGGAGCAGATATTCACTGGTAGGCATTTTCCAGCCTTGTAAGGAGGGAAGCTCCTGCTCTGAGGAGCTAGCCCAATAAACACTATTTCTCTTATAAAGTAGTGTTATCTCGGCCCCCCCATGGTGCTGAGCACTCCAGTCAAGTGCCTTCCTCTCCCTTGTTTTTGGAGGACCAGCAAGCAGACTTCACAGGAGGACACAGGACCTGCAGCCCTGCACCTGGACTGCTGCTGTCTGGCAGCTTCCCCCGCGCCTGGACAAGAGGAGCCGGGTCCCCAGGCACCCGGTGAGGGGCTGCTGGGGCCGGATCAGGGCATGCGAGGAGTCCTGGCTGGGTCCGCAGAGAGAGAGGGTGTTGTTGGCGGCTGGAGCTACACTTGGAGGAATCCATGCGTGTTTGGGTTGCCTTGGACAAATAGGTGAGTTGATGGCACACACGCCTTTTTAAATGCCACTTTATATCACACCTTTAAAAAAGGCCCAGGTGTGATGAGCCTTAGTGGGGACCTTAGCTGAGATGAGCCAGTGTGCTTGCAAAGGTGCTAAGACTTGTCTTCACACAGGCCTGGGAGCAAGCTTTGGCCTCCTTGCTAGAGGCATCTTGATTATAAATGATAGCTATTAAATTCCCAGTGACAACAGTGAGAGTCTATATTTCCCCGCCCTTCATTTTACTTGGGGTTTTGAAGACTTTTCATTAATTTGAGGCTTTCTGCTTTCCCAGAGCAGTGGGATTTGCTCTCTCTGTCCAGACCTGGGTGTGAGTTGCCTTTGCTCAGGGGTGGGACTGCACCACGGAGATGCCTGCAGGAGTGCGGGGCTCCTTCACAGCCCCATCCCTGCCTGCTTTCTGCACACTACGTCAGAGCTGTTCACATCCAGATTTCCAGCTCCATAGGGGACTGCTTGACCTGCAGTGAAAAATGCATAACTGTCCTTTTAGGCAGCAATGGTTAAACACATTTCTTTTATGATCTGATGTATAAAATACCAATTTTTTCTTTATATCTGCATTGTTGGTGTAAGGCACTAGACAGCAGTCCTGTAAAGGAAGAGTGCCTCTCAACACATGGATAGTCAAATCCCTCAAGAACCTGTGTGATTAATAACACTTTTTCCCATAAAGTTTTATTTCACGTCCTTTCAAAAAATTGCCTGAGAACATTTCTAAAGAAAGCGTCAGTATTATTTACTCCTTTCCATGTCATGTGTATTTATATTCTGGTCCTATGACTTACACACGGCCTCCAATTTATTTGTTTTCTTCTTTTTATTGTTGACAGCCATAGCTGACAGGGTTGTCAGGGGAAAAAACAACCTTTCTTGTCAAAGGTCCTTCAGTGCTGGCGTTTTTTTTTCCCTATAGTACTTCTATGCGACTCAACCGTGTTTTATTTCTCAGGATTAATCGCCTATGTCCTTGGTCCCTTGCACTGTATATTAATCTTTTAATTCAATTAACATGCCCATAAAACTTAAATCTTAAGGAGATCATATCTCTAGTAATATCCAAATGATAAACGCCCCCAGTGGCAGTAGTGGCTGAAGGAAAGAACTTGCAGCAAGAACTAAAAAAAAATTGCTTAAATACACTCGCTTAACGTTACGTCCCCAAATTCACGTGAAAGGGGCTGCTCACCTAAGTATTTTCAGGATCTGGTGCTGAAGGATCTTGTTATGAGCAATAAATCAAATTTGCTTTGCCTCAACTATACTAGTGGGCATTTACGCTTGCATGAAAACCAAGGACCAGATTTGCCTCCAGGTTACTCCCGTGAGACATCATGGGACTGTGCCTGCTCTCCCAGTCCCATTCCCATTTTCCCACAGAAAGCCAACAGAGCTGCATTCATTTCCAAGGGCAGAGTCAGATACCAATGGTGGAATTTTCTCCCTACCACCAAGCACTTTGTACAACTTCTGCAAAAACCCTGCCGGCTTTCAGTGCGGCAGGATGAGACGTCCCTCTTCAGAAAGCTTCCAATAAAAGAGACTATCATTTAAAAGGATTTCCATTCCTGCACGTGCTTTCTAAAGTTCCTCTGAGATTTAAATAATATACTCAGGGATACTTGAAGAGGCACATTTGTAGAGAGATACTTATAAAAGATTACACTGGGTCAGGATTCCGGCAAGTCTTGGCCAGGATATTTCAGAAGGCTTAAATATTTCTTGTATAACAATATACCAACGTTGTTTTTTTTTAACCAGAGATGTGTATTTTTGTAAGTGATGGTAAAAAATAATGTTGCTGAGAATTATGACCCATATGTGTTTTACATTTCGGTTCTTTGAAGGTAAATTCACTCATTAGAGCAATCCGAAGTGTGGAACATTTATACAGAAAACAGCTTTATGCTTCTATTTTATACATTATTAATAGATCAGTTTTGAATTATACCTGTGAAGTGTAATAGAATAACTATAAAAATCCTCCAGTAAATATTCGTTAGGACCCGCTAGGTGACTAAGACAGCTGCATTACAGCAGGCACGTTATGGATGCTGTTGAAGCTGATTGCTGAGTAGCATTAGGTAATCCTGCATCCTAATGCTTCAATAGCCATTGCAATATCCCAGCATGAGCCATACATTTCCTATGCCTTATTGACTAAGCACACAACATAAAATGCAATTGAACTTGCTTTAGCACTTGCTTGCCACCAATCGATATGCATTTGTTATACAAATAAAATAGATTCTATAAGAGCTGCAGAATAGCAGTTAATTAGATCAGCTCTTGTAACTGTTATCTGGAAATCTAGAAATATGCATTTCTAAGCTGAGAAAAATGTCAACTCAAGTTTATTTCAAGATCCTATATTTCAAAATTTTCCAAACGGACTAACACACCCTTTGCTGAATAGTTAGTGACGTGACAGGTTATCCAAGGAAAGAATTTAAATTTAGAAAAGTACTGTCTAGAAAAAGACCCGAATGTGATACAGATGTATTTAGGAAGGGTACAGATTTAATTTTGGTTAAGGCATACCCTGTGAAATGCCCCTGTTCACAATCCAGGGAAAACAGCTCTTTACTAGAGCTGGCTGAAAAACTTCAAAGTTTATGCTCTAGAAAAGTTTCAATACTATTTCTTTTTAGCGGGAAGCAGTAGACGTTCCTTCCATTGGGCAAGTGACTTAAGAATTTTTCTTTTTTAAACCACAATCAAAATAGGAGTAGACATTTTCTGGGTTGCCCCCACCCCAAAGAGGGCTAGAGCTTGTTGTCGTGAGAAATGAATTAAGATCCTACACATCTCAGCAGGAGTGGGACCTGATCCTAACCATATTTAGGAGTGGGTCGCAGTTGACTTGCCTGGGAGGATCCCTGCACCCACGGAGATCTAGCGTGCAGTCCTTGGCTCTTCAGGACTTTGGCAAACCAACTCTCCCTGTACGTGCGCAGAGGCTAGCACAACTGGGTGTTTCTCACAGCTTGGAGCCTCACACACTGCTGCAAAATAGATGGTTCAACAGTGAGACTGCAACCATACCGCAACGCACATTCGGCACTTGCAAGGAGCATGCCTTTACATATCTTGATCATCTTAAAATCAGAACTCAAGCAGTAAAGAAGATCGATGTCAAGCTTTGTGTACCCAAAATCCCTCACCACCAGCTTTACTTTAGTCGATCTTGCTGTGCTGAAGATCTCCAGCTGCCGCTGAAGCACGACAGGCTCACACCCTGCCCTGCACAGTGCCAGCATCCTCCTGCACTAGCCCACCCTGTCCCTCCCACTAAACTTACACTTCTGAAAAGTGTCACGGGTGAGAAAAACAGGCTCATCATCTCTAACAGGAACAAACACAGGTGGCAATGCAGAAGGGTGTTTGGACAAAGCCCACAGACATTGCCACCCAGTGAGGACCACGAGGCTCGGGGCAAGGGAGCCGCTCTCCCCATCCTCACCTCCCGGCGGCTCACTAGCGTCTGGTCCTGCAAGGACTAAGCCCAAGGTGTATGAGCAGCACAAGGACATCCCATGGTAGTGATGAAGATGGTTATGTAATGTATGGAACTGGGGGAAATATGAACACGTAGGGTACAAATTTCCGCTGTGGTTTGCATTCATTATCTTTGCACACTGACATATTAATGTGGTTTGCTTTATTTCGACAGATTTCAAAACCACAGATTGCTCAAATCTGTCTGCATCTCTCCATTGTATATTTGTGAAACTGGTTTTTCTTTTGTTATTGCTACAATTTTAGCCCAAGGGTTGCTATAGAATAGGTGGTTTTCTCCAGCAAAGCTCTTCCTACCCAGAGCATCATCTT